ACGTTAACGGATACTTTGTGTACACGTTAACGGATACTTTGTGTACAGGTTAACGGATACTTTGTGTACAGGTTAACGGATACTTTGTGTACAAGTTAATGTATACTTTGTGTACAAGTTAATGTATACTTTGTGTACAAGTTAATGGATACTTTGTGTACAATTTAATGGATACTTTGTGTACAATTTAATGGATACTTTGTGTACAAGTTAATGGATACTTTGTGTACAAGTTATTTTGTATCATTATAGTTGATGAGAATAACTCAGGTTATGCTGTTTCATGTGCAGATAATAATATGTCAAATAATACAAAATTAACAATAAAAAAGTTCTAAAAATACCGTACAAATATTACTATTAAGTAACATAATAACAACAATTAACACAAGAGACGAAAACGTATAGTTTATACGGTTTGCGGGGAAATTAAAACACGTTTATAAAGGGGAGTGGGTTGCCATAAAAAAAAATGTTTGCGCACCTCTGCCTGAATGGAAGCTAATGGTATAGATGTCACTTGCATGTGTTGTTTCATGTTTTAATGGACACCAAGGTATAGAGTAACGTGATGTTACAACATCAAGAGATGTCACAAACCCTGGTAACTTGCATATGTTGTTTCATGTTTTAATGGACACCAAGGTATAGAGTAACGTGATGTTACAACATCAAGAGATGTCAGAAACCCTGGTAACTTGCATATCTTATTTCATGTTTTAATGGACACCAAGGTATAGAGTGGCGTGATGTTACAACATCAAAAGATGTCAGAAACCCTGGTAACTTGCATATGTTGTTTCATGTTTTAATGGACACCAAGGTATAGAGTAACGTGATGTTACAACATCAAGAGATGTCGGAAACCCTGGTCACTTGTATATGTTGTTTCATGTTTTAATGGACACCAAGGTATAGAGTGTCGTGATGTTACAACATCAAGAGATGTCAGAAACCCTGGTCACTTGCATGTGTTGTTTCATGTTTTAATGATCACTTACAAGTTAAAGACGAAAATATATTTGACTAGAACTACTAAGTTTTGTAGAAAATAACTTGTAAAGGAAACTGAAACACAAATCCAATAAACAATGAATGGTTTACTAAACAAACTTTATCAAAATCTGAGGAGCGATAACTTACCAAATTACCAATAACATCCTTTACAATATGAGACATATATGGACTATATTTTTCAGTCCGCCTAAACAACGTATTTTTATTGCTAGATGTTTTAACAAAGTATAATATTTTTACTTTTAACGCTGGCTTTGAGTTCTCTTTGTCCAACCCAGGATATCCTGTCTTCCAGTTACGAAGGAAGTTGATGTACTGTTGTCCGTTCTCGTCCACTAAACTGAACGCCGAGATGTTAGTGCCACCATATTGGAAGTCTTTCAAGTCGATGGTGTGAAGGTCCTAAAGTAATTTAATAATTATTCCATGATCAGAATCATTGACATTCCTAACCGATCCGTTAAAATGTAAAATAAAAATTCAACCAAGTCATTGTTCAAGTACGTAATGATATAACGAGCATCTCAATCACTATTGGATCCCAGCCACCCTGGTGAGCTTTGGTTTGTTTGTTTGTTTGTCTGGAATGAAGCACAAAGCTACACAAAGGGCTATCTGTGCTCTGTCCACCACGGGTATCGAAACCCATTTTCTAGCGTTGTAAGTCCGCAGACATACCGCTGTGCCACTGGAGGGCAATGTGAGCTTTGGTATTGAGCGAAAGGCCTCGTAAATACAGGATATAGAAGATATAGTGTGGTTGACATGTTATTACATTATTCTTTACTTTCACTCACTAGCTATTATAATCAACACGATTACATAGTACGTAAGCCTTACACACGAAAAAAACAACAACACGTGTTTTAGAAAACCTTTTTAATTTAATAATTAATTAACAAGGGCTATCTGCACCTAATTACTATAGACTAGCCAACAGCACCCACTGTCAACTTTTGGGCTACCTTATAATGGGATTTGACCTTCACTCCTATAACACACACAAAGTCCAAAAATGCGGAGCGTGATTTGTTACAATGGGACGCTAACTATTGACTCTTGTACTCAGTCTGGCTTTCCAATCAATTGGCTATGCCCGACCCAAATATGTTTTCAATTTTATGAATTGTTACAAGTCAAATTATTAAAAAATAATATCCCATCCTATTACTAGTAAGGACAATTCACTGCCGAACACAAGATTATCTTGTAATTTTAAAATCTGGTTTTTTGAACACTAGGGAAGTTTGGAAGAAAAATAACTGAGTATGTAGAAACCATGGATTTTATATAGCTCCATTAAATTGAATTATGAAATGTAAATATGAATATAATTTGATATTATCCACAAATATAGATCAATTGACTGTATTTTTATATAGCGTTTTTTTTTTGTTCACTCCTACCTCTCAGTGGCACAGCGGTAAGTCTACGGACTAATAACGCTAGAAACTGGGTTTTCGATACTCCTGGTGGGTGTAGCACAGATATCCCATTGTCTAGCTTTGCGCTTAACTACAAACGAATTTTTTCTCTCCTGAAACAGGTCACAAATTTTATATGTTTAACAACACGAATTATCAAACTAGAAAACCAAGTATTCTGAGCGGGAAATACGACTTTATTCAAAAACATAAATTGATTGGTAGTCTAAATTTTATTACGACGTTTCTTTTCACCCTTCAAGAAGGAGAGTTTGTTTTCGGAAAGCGCTCGGGCCTTGTTCTTAGTAATATACGAATATTTCACCCAAATAACGACTTACAAACACGCATACTTGTGTAGATTAATTCCCACTAAGAACCAGGTAGCAAGTGGTTACAGTTAGATGTGACAAATTTTGGGTAAACTTTCATATCATATTTACTGACTGGCAAGGTAAGTTTGAAGAATGAAGTAATTCTAATAACTCCCCAAAAGACTTGAATACAAGAAAGGAAACAACGCCTCTGTAGCTACAAAGAAGTTTATGGAAATGTTTTGAACGTTCGTAAGTGTCAACGACGGTTCAGCAAATTTCATTCAGGTGACTTTAGCCTCAAAAACTGTGATGA